TACTCTAATTTCCCCCTTTTTACAATTTACAACCGCCAACCTCTAACTTAACCAGCCCCCCTTCTAACCTCCCCCCTTTCTAGCCCCCCTTCTTAAGCCTAAAAATTACTTTAAGCGCCGGGTGCTAAACCTCTCAAGAGAAAACCGTAGACCTGTTTCCAGGCCTGCTCAAGTAAAAACGTTCCTCAAAACTGGGGGATTTCGCTTATCCAATTTTACACTTATCTCCTATAATGTAATGTGGATTCTAACGATACCCGTTCTGCCCAACTTGAGAACTCGAGAATTGCCAAATCCTTCTTGGCTGCTTTCCCACTCGACTGGTCACCTCTTCCAGTCAAGTCTCCTATTGGTTCAGCTCAAGTGTCCCTGAACCACTTTCCCACTCGGCTGGTCACCTCTTCCAGTCAAGTCTCCTATTGGTCCAGCTAAGTTCCAAGCTATCTGAAAACCCTTGACAACGCCCCACTTTGGGCACTTTATTCAGTTTACTGGTTTAAATTGCTAGGTTGATCGAAACGATCGAACTTGTAAAACAGTATGGGTATACTATTTAATTAATATAAAGGTTTGATCCAACTAATCTGGTGTCAAAGTCACTGTCTTTTTTCGTTTTATGGTTTTTGTTCCTTTTTCTATTCTTTTTTGGTTTTTGTTTTGCTTTTTGTCTTTTTGCTCGTGTTTTTGTCCCCCTAGTTGCCCCCCCTTTACTCGGTTAGCTAAGCCTCGTTCGGAGAGCGTACCAGGAAATTTTCTCGAGTTTTCTTAAAAAGCTATCACGGTACAACCGGAAGGTTTGCACGTTCCTGTCGAACCGTACCGCCGGTACTCTAGAATGGGCATTCAGCCCGAAGCTGTCTCAAGTGGGTTCGACTCCGTAGTCTTGATGTCGTAAACACCCAGGAGCGCCATAAAAACACTATGTAACATTCGTCTACTGCAGTCACACATGAGGCTTAAGAAAAATAGGCCCTATAACCACTGGCTCAAGGGTCAGGGACACTATCTCTTGTGTTTTCCCACCTCAAGAACGGTCGGAGCCAGTTCGGTTCGCTTATGACATGAGACTACGACCCGTTACAGCTTAAAGGCTACTACTAAAATATCCCCCCACTCTAGAATTAGAAACGTCCCCATACTTAGGTCTCTAGATACCCAAAATACATGAACGCCGTTAAAAACCGGGTTGGAACAATCCGTTAGGTTACTTTTTATTAGACAGTGTGACTTTGATCCATTTCAGATGGATCAACCTAAAACTCGCCTTATCTCAACATAACAATCATAAAACACACTCTAGAAATTAAATTTGTACTCACATAGCAGCACGCTCAAGAATTGGGAAATAATCCAGTCAGTAACTAACTCAAGAAATAAATGACTAAGAGAAGTTTAATGTTTTATAGTTTAGACAGCAAGGATAAGTTCATGCTCTAGAATTTGAGTTCTCTTGGACCGTTGGGACACTCTAGTTGTCCGCCTTTCCGCTGAAGGTTCACTCTGGTCCAACTTTAGTAATCGCTCTCTCGGGGATACTCTGTCTTCTATTTCAAGTAGGACAGCTCTACTCTCGATTATATATAGATGGAAATTGCGAATAGCAATTTCCCACTCGTTTTTACTTTCTAACTTTCCCGCAATTGCTCTAAAATTGTTCTGATTTCTTTTTCTGATTTTCAGTTGTCGCGAGAAAATCGTGCATGACATGTTCCATTCGAATTTTTGAAAAATAAAATTTCTCTCCAAAATCAAGTATTTTCTGCTCTTCTCAAGGTCAAACTTCCAAATATGACCGACTGGCACAGAACATCCATGCTTCTCAACTCTGTTTGACTAAGATACCATATCGGAGAGCAGTAACACAAGGAGGACAGAATATAAGCTTTAACCAGTCGAGTTTTAGTTGATATTGGAGTAGCAAATGGAATCGTTCGTTTGATAGAGAAGAATATGCTATAGCATGTCTTGATTTTCCAACTAATATGGGATCTCCAGTTTAAGTTTTTCGATATTTTCACACCCAAGTCTTTCACATCACAGCTGTCAGAAAGGATATTCTCGCCCAGTGTTAGATGATACGGGCTTGGTAAAATATGTTTGTTAGCAAAGTGAATTAAAACGGTTTTATCAGTATTGAAGGTCATACCGTTTGAATTTGCCCACTCAACGCATCGATCGAGGTCCCGCTGTAGATCTTCTATGCTAGAGGATCTGCTTTTGCTGTCGTCCGCGAACAGATACATACAAGACGTAAAACAACTATCTGGTAAATCGTTGATAAAAATTATGAACAAGAGGGGACCAATAATCGATCCTTGTGGTACCCCGCTTAGAACATCGATAAAAAAGGAATAACGGCCGTCTATTTTTACGCATTGCTTTCGATCTGTGAGGTAAGATGCCAAAAGAAGTAAAAGTTCCCCACCGATGCCAAAATTACGTAGTTTCTGTAAAAGGATGCGATGCGGTACTTTGTCAAACGCTTTAGAGAAATCCAGATATACGGCGAAAACTTGATCATTGGTATCAAGTGCTTTGACAATATCATGCAAATAGAGTAAAAGTTGTACCTGGCAGGATCTTTTTCTTATGAAACCGAATTGATATCGCGATAGACGTTCAGCCACGAAAGGATAGAGTTTGTTATAAAGAACCCGCTCGAAAACCAAAGATAGTTTAGAAAGAATACTGATAGGTCTATAGCATTTTATGTCACATTTGTCACCTGATTTGAATATTGGAGTAATATAAGAGTTTTTCCACTGTGAGGGGTATTCGCCACTAATGATAATACTATCAAAAAGCTTCTGTACATGAAAAGTTATTTCACTGGCAGAGTTCCGTAAGAAAGCACCGGGTACATTATCAAAACCTGTGCCGAGTGATGAATTTTCCAGAGCGGTCTTCACGTCATCGAAGTGAATAGAGACACGGTTGAGTGTTGATTCCGAAAAATCACTGAAAGTTCCAGTGACTTTATTAAAAACGTCACCAAAATGACGGTTGAACGCACAAGCAATACTGTAGCTGTCGTTAAACACATTTTCTCCGAACTTCATCATTTTTGGTAGGTTGATTGATTGATTTATAGTTTTCAACAGTCTGTAGCAGTCGTTTGTACTAGAGTTTGTGGACGTGAAGCTTTCAGTGAATATAATAGTGTCAGTTTCAATTGAAGCTGCCGACTGTTGCTTAAGACGCTTTACTGTACCATAGGTAAACTTGGACCACTGCTTTGACAGTCGTCTTTCTGCAGTACGTAATTTGTTGAGAAGATGAACTGAATGCGAGGAAAAAATACGGTAAGCTGGCGCGCTTTCTTCTGATAAAAGAGCTGTTCACATCAATGATGTTGTAAAAGTAATCAAGCCAGTGATTCCGATAGCCCGGGTTTGTTACATCAAGCTCTACCGAAAACAAAGAAGTGGATAACGCATGTGAGACATCAGCATAAACATTGGTTTGTAGACGTTTGTTGGTAACTGAGTTGGTTTTATTACAGGTTGTTTCACTTGTCGTAATAAAGTTTACCACAACACCTGTATGATCAGAAAAGTTAACAGGATGACTCGAAACTTCTGAATAAGAGAGGTTTGTAAAGACAAGGTCCAGAATATTTCCACTAATGTGAGTAGGGAAGTGAACAATTTGTTCTAGTCCAATATCAAGAATATGGTCAATTACTGAGGAAGAATCTGTGGTTGTTGCTGTCAATGTATCCCAGTTGGCATCAGGCATGTTAAAATCACCACAAATGATTATTTTAAAACCTTGTAGTCGTGAATTTACGATGGATTCAATTTGATTCATAAGAACATCACAATTAACTCGATAATGACTGTTAGTTGGAGGGTTGTAAACGCACATGACCGCTATACTCGAACTGGGTATCAGAATGACTGAAATAAAATCGACATTTGTCGGAAGAGTAATATAGTCACAGGTAGACTTGCATAAGATAAGAGTACCACCGTGTTCGCCAGTTTCTCTGATGGAGTAAGAGGCAATATTGTAATCCGTTTCCATGAAAATCATACTTGTTGGATCTTTGTCTAGCCAAGTTTCTGTGACACAGACAATGTCCGGGTTAAACAGATTTACTTCTTTTATGAAAGAAAGGCGTCTACTGAGTGTCAACAGGCTACGGGCATTTTGCAAGTAGAGTGTCAAGTTGTTTAGTCAGTTCTTGTCACATTTCGTTTCGATACCATCAACATATAGTTTCAAGTTTCGGATTTTTATTCTAGATTTGTCAACACCCGTCTGAATAACCTCATGTCGTTTGGCTAGGAGCTGTTTTTCTACAGCACGATCTGCAGGAGACAGCTCATTCAAAATAAGAATGGAGTCACTTTGGTAGAGTTTTCTTTCAATTGCTTTCGACCTGATGAGTCGCGCGTCCCAGATCGAGCTGAACGAGACTATAAGTGGCCTGTTACGAGTTTTATCGTATTTGCCAGCGCGGAAACAGTCTGCTACGTTCGCATTTTTGATTTCTAGTTTTCCCAGAATATTCTCGATAGATGTCTTGTCGTCAAACTGTCTAGCATCTGTGAATTTCTTCTCGCTCTCTTGGATACCCACTATTTTCACACGATGTTTATAGGAGTCATCAATGTGATATGTTTTTTCAGATGAGTCCACCTCTTGTCCAGTGGCCTGTTTCGGCGCAGCATCGACTGATTTGAGGGTGGTATCAAGGTTTTCGAGTTTTTCGGCTAGTTTATTTACAGTGGCAGATAGAGAAACAATAACCGACCGGTCTTGACGTTGTTTGAAGCAAGGAGAACAGTACCAGCAGGTAGTCGTCAAGGTCTGTAGAAGCTGATATTGCCCATCAGAGACGTTTACGCATTCTGGGTGAAACCAGCAGTCACAGTCCTCGCACTGCAAACCAGCTGCCTGTACTGCAATTTCGCATGATCCACATTTCGCTCGAAGTCTCGTAGAGGTGGAACCAGTTCTGTTTCGTCCTCTGCCACTCATGATACCTTCTATCTATTTAATAAGTTTATCACAACAATCACAACTTGTAAGAAGGCCCAGAATGGGATTTTAGAGACTAGCTTGTCAAGCCGCGATACTCTTCTATCGGGACAACCCAACCGGAACCTCCACCAGTGAAGAACCAGGTTGTAATCACTTTCATTTCTTTTTGTGATTTGTTTTAAAAATCCATTCTTATTCAATCCATTTTACAATTTATTCTTTCTCTTGTTTTGTACCCTGTTTGGTGAATGTTTGTGCCGAAGTAAAGGCCAAAGTGTCCACCCAAGTTGAGCAGGACACTGGTAGAAGGAACCTCGATGACCAAGTACTGCAGTACCAAAGATGTCGGACCCAGTGTTCACGTACAAAGGTTCAAAGATAGCCGACCTTGCCATTACTGTCTCGCGCTACCACTCGCAGAATCTGAACTGCGTTGTCATAGTAGCCGGCTTTAATGATTGGACATTTTTAATAAGTTAAGTGAATCATAATCTTAACCCATATGCGCTTATTATCCTCAAAAAACGTCCTCTGCAAAAAAAACAAATTCATAAATAAAAAACTTGGTGCTTTAAATAATTCTTCGTTTTGCGTTGTATACATTTTATTACTCAAAAATCAGAATTAGATCCTTAATCTAAGCGTTAGTCTTAATGTAAACATGGTTTTTAAAGATGGTGTTCACCTTCCTCTCTAGGTTAAAAACATTTTCAGATTTTCGCCCGACCGAACTTGTATATATTCAACATAAATTTAGGACTGATCAAACGCTTTGCCATACCTGCAAACGCATTTCCTAAAAAGTGTGCCAGTCGGTCGTATGTGACATTTGACCAGAATGGATCAAAATGCAGATTCAGCAGATTCGAATTTTTAGCAGCCAACCTTCCGAATTGGCGATTTTGAAGAAATAAGAGCGTTATTGGAACGATTGGCCAAACGGTGTAGGTCAAGATATTCTGGTTTTTTGAAATTTTAAAATTTCGAAGTATGACGTCATATTTCTGAGAAACGTCAGAAACAACCATTTCGACAGAAAACCTGAAGAAAAACACAACAACATTAGTTGCGATAGCGTTAACAACGGAGATTGTGATTGAGAAACAACAACAAATTGCAGAAGTAGCCCAGACCGCTCCGAGTTGCAACTATTGTGTCGCTACAATAGTTGCAAGGCCGTTGCGAACAACGGTGAAGGGTGGAAAACCAGCCTTCCGAAAGGAGAATAAGAGCCTTATTTCCCCGGATTAAGGAATCCGGAGGGGTCTCAGGACTGGAATTTTTATTAACTTATATAAACTTTTAGCTTCCCTGTCATGTCCTAAATTGAATTTAATTAACAACTGAATTCATTTAGCTAGTATGAGAAGCTAGGAGTTGGGGGAAAGGGTTGATCCATCTTCGATGGAGATGATGATTTTTATCTACTGAACAAAAACAATAATAAATCAATAAACAGTAAAAGCCCTGATTTTAGGAGTGACCTCGTGGTCTGGGGATACTGAGACCCAGCCATGAGCTCACTATTTCTGCATGTAGTTAAGTTAATTTGAGCGTTTTGACCGAAGCCGAAAACAATTTTTGTCGACCCGATGTTAGAAAGAGCACCGAAAGTACTGGCTTGGTAGAGACGGTTAAAAGCATGTAAGGCTCTGTCTAGACGTTGGACAGTCGTCTTAGGACATAGTTTTGTTTTCCGTCGATTTGTATCTTCCGGGCGAATGTTACATAGATGTTTTTATGGCGCTCCTGGGTGTTATTACTTTTTAACATTATGACCGGCAGAACCGTTAACGAGCACTCCGCGCCGAGCGGATGCTCACATTAACGCCCTTAATAGTCCTAAACCGCCGGGGCGGAAGGGTAGTTTGGAATGCGGAAGCCTTCCGGATTACCGTGAATATCTTTTAACCTAGTTAAGACCGAAAATTCACGAATCAGGAAGGGTGGGCGGATAGGCCATCCCCTCGTTCCCTGAGAGATTTGTGACCAAAAACACTTAAAGATATATACAAAAACCAAACAAAAAGTAGTATAGTACCCAAGAAAAACAAAAAAAACATTAAAAAAATAACCGAAAAAACCAAAAACAGTAAAAAAAGTTTAAAAAATCAGTAGAAATCATCCCCCCGGACAAGATGTGATCCGACCCTCCCATTTGTTGATGATAGATATATTGTTGTTACAGGCATTTATATCAGTCAAAATTGTTACAATCAATTTTGTAGCCCGTTTGTGAGGCTTGTACTGTAGGATTATTTGAGCATTTAAGCACGTTAATGATAAATTGCGCTTAATCCGGAAGGGTCAGCTGATATGCGCTCAATTCGGAAGGGTCTTGGGAGAAGACTGATCCGGCAAGCAGTACAAGGAGCAACAACAAGGGGCTCAACGACAACATCAATCGACTGTTGGGTATCGTTAACAAGTTTTGTATCCATTTTGGTACAAAAAGTAAGATAGTAATCTGTGGGGGGCTCGACAGTGCTGCACTGTAGTGACCCTTCACCAAACTGAAATTATCCGAGTTAAGCACCTTAATTGGGAAATTAAACAAACTCGGAGGGGTATAGTATTACTAATATATTATTTATATAGCCTCTATTAATACTCCTATACCGTTTTTCAGTGAAAAACACAGAAAGTAGACCGGTTGTTAGGGTCAAAATAGCAATATTTTGATCCCCCCACAAATCGCGGTTTTTGAGATATCGATTTTTTTTGAAACGGAAAAACGTGCTAAATTAGTGTGTTTCATCGTAATTGCACTACCATAATATAAAGAACCGGTTAAGTTTAGTTCGGAAGTGGTTGGAACTATTTTGGAACCAAAAACCGAATTTTCGTGATTTTTGAAGAGGCGAAACACTATAAATTCAAAAAAAAAATTTTGAAATTTTTGAGTTGGAACAGTAAAAATAGTTGTTCGGACAACGTCCACTAGTGAATCTACGAGTTTTAAAACCCGCTACCCGAAAGCCTTCCGGGTTGCAGAGAAATCGAACTTAACGTGTTTGATTTGGTGGATTCATCAATCCGGAAGGGTCTAGGTAGCATAGTTTTTCGCAAATTTTTTCAACCAAAGCGTTTTAGATAGAATATTTTGCATTGAACTAGAAAAATATAGGCCTTCTGAGCTCGGATCAATAATTTTTAGGTCGAAAAGAACAGAATTGTGGAAAAAGTTAGGCGGAACCTATAAGAGACAAACTTTTTGACTTTAGAAAAAAGACGTTTTGGTTAATAACTTTGAAACTACTGGGCATATTCAGTTGATCTTGGTACCAATAGATCAGAAATTAGCTGAGCTTACTGATAGGAACAAAATTTTTTCGAAAAAGTAAGCGTGAAAAGTTTTTGAGATTGTTTTTAGCAAATTCACCAATTTGAAGGGTAGACCCTTCACGTTTTAAATTTTTTTTTTAGAAAAGTCAGTACACCCCTACCAAGAGGTAACAGCGGTTGAATAGAGTAACTTTAGGCTGTTTTAGACGAAAAGGAAAGGCTAAAGGCACAGAAAAACCTTAATCGAGCCGAAGTTAGGCTAGCGATAAGACCCTTCACCCTTAGCGTGAGTTGTCAAATAAGAGGCTTAACTTCAATCCGGAAGGGTCTAGGAAAGCATAACATACCCTTCCTAGTTAATTGAAAAAGCAAAATAGCATCGGAGAACGTATCCGGAGGGGTATAGGTTGAAAGAAGGAAATCTCCGAAAAGCTACTTTTACAAAACCAGAGGGCTCCGAATCCGGAGGGGTCTAAGATTTGCTAATTCGGAGGGGTCCCAATCCGGAGGGGTCTTATTTTCGCTAACTCAGAGCGGTCCCAATCCAGAGGGGTCTTATATTCGCTAACGCAGAGGGGTCCCAATCCGGAGGGGTCTAAATTTTGCCAAACCAGAGGGGTCTAAATTTTGCCGATCCGGAAGGGTCCTACTTTTTGCCAATTCGGAAGGGTCCTATTTTTGCCAATTCGGAAGGGTCCTACTTTTGCCAATCCGGAGGGGTATTATTTTATTACAGAACTTAAGTAAACAGAAGAAAGTCTACAGTGAGAGGTATAAGGTTATTAGCAGACAGGCTAGGAATCAGTGACTGCACTGGTAACTTGCCTTTCAATAAAAACCAGACCGAGACAAAACAGGTCCGAACTCGGATATTCGCGACACTAAGTCTAAACCAAAAAGAGCGTAATTCATTGGTGGGGATTGAAACCCAATACTTTTTTGTGAAAAGTGACTGCCCTGAGGATTTTAGTAGGTCTAGCTCGGGCAATCCGAAGGCAGATAGGTAACAGAGTACTCGGTGGGTGCAATAGACGCCCACTTGAGAAAATTAATGCCTTGAAACTTTTGTCTGTTTGGTGCAGCACCAAGCAGGGAAAGCTTTTTCTTTAAAAAAACAAGTTCGACTATTGTACTGCGACCGACTAAAAGTACAATACACATATGTTTTTTTTATAGAGGTATTTATATTCTGTCATTATATATATTTTTTTTGTTTGTGATTTTAAATCAACATAATTTGTGCTTGATTAGGTAGTGAATACGCTATCTTTTAAATTGAATGATAACATTATATTGTGCTAGTTCTCAAAACTTACGAACGATAATCGGTTAGTGTGAGTAAATTATATACAAACTGTACTCTGATAACATACAGGGATTCGTGGTCACTATTTTATAGAATCTTGTGAAATTTATTGTGTTGTGTCATTATTAATAGTAGTCAAACTATAAGGTCACTAGCAATCGAATTGAGTATATAGGCCTTAAAAATTGAGAAATTGAGAATTCAGATTGAGAATGACAAATTGAGAATGAGTTTAGACAAGTCAAGGATTCCTAAACAAGGTAATAGCTCTAGGAAATTATTACCTAAAAAACAAAGAAAAACAATGACCGACCCTTTTGTGGATCGGATCAAACGAGCCCGGACCGACAAAGGGGAGACGGTTTCAGGCAGAATGGTTGAAACGAGGAGTCAGAAGACCTTAGAAGAGAGAAAAGAAATGTTAGAAATGGAGGTCAATACGGA